GGGCGCCGCCGTGCCCTCCGCGCCCGGCCGCCCTCCGCGGCGCCCCGCGCTGCCCCCCGGGCCTCCCCGGCCTCAGCTCTGGCCCCCTGTAGGCCCTGGCCCTTCTCCCACCCCGGCACCGCAGCCCCCCTGCTCCCCTCCCCGCTCCCGGGCCGGCCCCCGGTGCCGCGGGTGTCCTGGACGCACCCGGCCCCTGTTTAGCCTTTATTCCTGCTCTCCCCCCTCGCTCCCAGCGCCAGATGCAGCAGGCAGGGGTTTCTGCTCCTGCAGGTTCCACATCCTCCTTCGGGGTCTCCCCCTGTTGCCAGCGATGCCCCACTTCCATTTTAGCGCTGGCAGCAGTGGCCCTCTTGTCTCTTCCCACCTGCCCCCACACTTCCAGGGAAGCCGAGAGGCTGGAGCTGCTCCGTTTTTATTTCCTACACCCCTGGGCTGGGAAGTGGGGAGTGGCGATGGCTCCTCTCATGTGCATTTTGGGGGAAGATGAGGAGGAATTGCTTTGAGCTTCCCTCATCCTTGCAGCCCAGTCCCTGCTCCTCTCTTTCCTCACTTGCTTTCTGCGAGGAGGCTTTAAAAGTCCCTTCCTCCTCAGTGTTACTAGTGCAGGGGAGGCTGCTGCTCCTCCTGCTCGGGCTGCAGGGCCTGACGAGGAGAGGGAGACACGAGGACCCGTTAAAAGGAGCGTGACCCAGACACAGAGCAGGACTGTCAGCTGCCTTTCTCTGTGTGTGTTTGTGTTCACTGTTTGTTCCCCGCGCCCTATGGTGTCTCCTCTCCAGGTTGGGGTGTGTGGTGGGGGGGTCGCTATGTCGGATGACGATTCGAGGGCCAGCACCAGCTCCTCCTCATCTTCATCCTCCAACCAACAGACAGAGAAAGAGGCAAGCACACCTAAGAAGAAGGAGAGCAAAGTCAGCATGAGTAAAAACTCTAAGCTGCTATCTACCAGTGCCAAGAGGTGAGGCTGCAGTTAGTTGTGTGGTGGGGTTTTTTTATTGCTGTTTCTATTTTTTTTTAAACTGCTTCACTGTATCTTTTCTCCTTTCCCATCTTCTTTTGCTTTTTTTTCCTGCTGCCCCCTTGTTGTTCCCATTCTTGCTCTCTAGAACTTATGTTCAACCTTTCCACGCAAAGTTGCTGTCGTTTCACTTTTTTTCATCATCTCTGTGCAGTAAGGAGTGTCTGCCCGACCTTAACTGCTCTAGGAGATTTCTTCCTGCTTTTTCCTGCATTCCATCCCAACTAGTCTTTCTTTTTCTTCAGACTGTTTTTCTGTCCTCCAGTTATTTCTGCTGTCTTTTCCCTTTTCCTCATTAACATACAGGGATGTTTAGGAATGGCATGTGGGAGCTTAATTCCTTTCTTTGCTAGTGGAAACTATATGTCTTAAGTAGTGTATTTAATTTCTGTGTCAATTTCCCTTTCTGTATAATTATTTGTTTGTTTTTTTGTTTTTAATTTCCAGGACTGCTCTGAGGGTTAATTAGTATTTGTGAAGAATTTTGAGTTTTCTTAATGAAAGAAAGTATATATGAGTGCAAGTGGTGTAGTATAGTGCCAAATCTTTTCCGCTGTTTTCCTGTTGACTTGCCACATACATTATTTTTTTTCTGTGCATTGACTAGAACAAACGATCCACAGCAGGTCTGTTAGTGGACATTGTAGTCTAAAATACATTTTTTTTTTCTTCTTATGGGGAAAAATGGTTTCATTCCAGAATAATGTCTGTATCGAGGAGAGATGTCTGCCTGGAACTGTAGTAATTCTAGCTACATCAGTCAGTTCTCTTCACGTGGACAGGCTCTTGGAGTCTTTCAGTTAAAGCATCATTGCCCTTTTTTATTTAACTCAGTGTTTCACCTAAATTTAGTGCCATCCTGCTCCAGAAAGCTAAGCCTGCAAATCCGGTTCTCAACCAAACTTTCAGTGCGTCAGTAAGAAGAATAGCCCATCTCCCTGAACAGCTTTGTTGAGCAGCACAGAAAGGTTATATCTTCAGATGTCAAAAGTGACTGGGGTTTTGTGCAAATGCTCTGCTATCATGTCTACAAGTTCTCTGTGGCTCTGCAGAATTTAGGCAGTTTGGCTATTCCAGATCTCCACTTGGCATATTTCCTAGGGAAACTTGTGTAGATAGTGGCGAGTGGTGTTTACGTGTGGTTCTTTTAGCTATTTTGAAAATAACTTTTAAAAGCCTACTGACTGTGAAGTGCCTAATACAAAATGACCGTGGCTTTTGTTGCATGTGACAAGTAGAAGAGGCGGAAAATGTTGGTTGAGTTTAAAGGAGAAGGGAGGGAGCCTGAGTGCTGGGTGGGGAAATTTGGAGGGGAAGCTTGAGTGACAGTAATGGGACTCGAGGGAAGGGGATGATAGCTGGTTGGGCATTCTGTGGCAAAAGCAGCGTGGTGCTATGTAAGCCCAGAATAGTCTGGTGAGGGAGGGCAGGGTGTTGCCTGGACGTGGTGAAGAGAGGAGTGGCAGAAGTCCTGAGGGAAGGGACATGGATGGTGGTTAAATGTTTTTTTTGGAGGTGAGAAGAGGGGAGAACTGAAGGGCAGGTATATGCAGCAGCCTTGGAAATATGCAGATGTTTGCCTTCTTTTAAGTGTCCTTGGGAATGGCTCAGTTATTCACTCCCCTGGGGCTGGTGTGGTTTGTGTTTTTTTTTTTTTTTTTTTTTTTTTTTGGTAGGGCGAGGATGGTGATGGAGAGTAAGGGAAGCCAATTTGGCATCGAGTGTTCCTCTCAATCCAGGAAAACAAAATTCCTTCTCAGGCTGCAGTTTGGTCCCAGTGCCCTGTGCATTGGCAGAGAGCGTCCCCCCTTCCCAGGGGAGCTGGCGCGAGCAGCGCCTGCCTTTTCCGAAGCTGCGCCCCTGTGGCTGGCACCTCTGCCGGAGCACACGGCAGTGCCGGGCCTGTCTGCTGCTCCCACCGCCTGTGTAACAGGGTGCTTGTCCTGCTTGGAGTGTTTGGGCTGGGGAGAGGCTACAGCTGAGCGCTCTTCTCTTGTGCAGTGTTGCAAACCCGCGGTGACAGCGGGGCTGTGAGGGGGACACGCTAACTGCCATCCCCACGGTGACTTACCTTTGTTCCTCCTCGCTTTTATTACTGCAGGATTCAGAAGGAATTGGCTGACATCACCCTAGACCCACCTCCCAACTGCAGGTTAGTATTGATTCCTCCCTTGGGAAGCGCCGAGGAAGGTGGGGGGCCAAAGTGTGTTATGTGTTTGTTTTAATCATCCACAGGGGTTTGTGGTAGAGAGAGCAATGGCAGTTTAGATGGCTTAAAGTACTTCTGTGAGTGCTTGCATGACATTAGTTTCCAGGGAGTCGGGGAGGGAGGACTGCAGAGCTTTTATGTGTTTTGAGATGAGTTTTCTGTGTGTTTTTGTGTGTGTTTTGTTTTAATAATTGCATTTGAATTGTCATACTGTTGCGTGTATGTTTCTGAAACCGTCCCGAGAAGAGTGTGAAAACTTGCTCTTGGTTTGTGTTTTTTTTTTTTTCTTTTTCTTTTTCTTTTTTTCTGGTTTATAAATCTAATGCTTGACTGCACTAATCTTATATAAATAAGACTCCTGCCGAAGAAGCAGAAAACACTGAAATGCTATGAGCTTTTTAGCTCTACAAGTTCTGTTCCAAACAATAACTTAGTGGAAGAGAGTGCGAGTTTGTCATTCAGAAGGTGCCTTGCAGAAGCACATGTTAGCTGATGAAGTAGAGATACTCTATTGCCTTTTCTGGAGCAGCTTGTTTTAAGTATGTTTTAGAAACTTGTGCCTTTTTGTTTAAAGCATCTAGCAGGTTGATTTGGTTCATTGCCTGGTGGCCCAAACCACCTTGCATTTGAGGAGGAGACAGGAGTCATAAAATCTTTGGTTGTGCCTGTTTGTTCAATCAGGTTGTTTCCAATGTAGTGGGTGTTCACTGTAGCTGCCAAAGCATGACTCTGTTCCTGTCTTCTTGCGGTGGCTGGACTAGGTTTGAGACCTTTTGATGTTGGGAGGAGAAACAATCAAAATAAAATGCTGTTTATAAATACCTTTCTATGTTGATCTTTTTACGATTAAATTGGCACCCACAAATATGCAGAAGCCTTTTCAGTGAAACCTTTTTCTCCTGGTAGTCTCAGAGAAGCATTGGCATGAGCTAGCCTAGCAAGAGCCACTCTTTCAGGACCAGTCTGAAGGATCAAAGTTAATGAAATTGGGAATGGAATGAGACGTGTGAGTGTGATAGGAGTCTAGGCTGGAAGAGACCTTCTCACTTAAGTAGACTCATTAAAGAACTTGGTGGCCCTCCAGCAGCTGGCTGCAGATCTTTTGACAGTGTTACCGGTGGGTGATGCTTAGGGGAAAGGAGAGTAGTCTGGTGTTAAGCTTTTTTTTGATTTATTTATATAGTGAATCAATGTCATAAAAGTATTTTCTAAGATATGTTTTAAATATTCATCTAAATGAATTACAATGATTCAGTGTTTTGGCTAGACTTTATATATATGTGTGTGTGTGTGTGTGTGTGTGTGTGTGTGTGTGTGTGTATAAAATGCTGTTTGGAAGATAACTAATGAACTCGAAGCTTTCGGTCATGATGGTATTGTTTTAGTGACCATAGTGACTACCCCTGCATTACTGGAGCTTCCAGCTCTTGGGTTAGAAATGTCTGTCTTGTCTGCATCCTGACTCTGTGTCAGGATGAAGTCCAGATGCTCTCTCTTCTCCTCCTCCTTCCACCATACCCTGATTTTCATTGGAGAGTTAAAAAAAAAAAAAAAAAGAGACGGGGGGGAGGCAGAAATGTGGCTCAGAAAGGAACTGTGACTTGCAGTTAGCCTAATCTGGGTGATCAATCTGCAGTTTGAACTTAGCAGATCTGTCAAAGGTTGTGGTAGTGTGCGAGTGTCTCGGATTGCAGGTCTCTTCCGAAAGTTTGTGTAATCAGTATTGGAACCCTAAATTGCCCTTGTCTGAATTGATGTGACTCATGGGTAGAAATGAGCTGGCAGGCTACCTGTGAAAATATGGTTGCAATTTTTTTTTCTTTTTTATTGCATAGATCACTGAACATAATGCACTTCAAGGCACATGCAGTAACTTTGTGTTGTTTCAGCCTTTATAAATAGTTTTAATTGTAAAAATTAGTCCATAGTACAAGCAGTGACCGTTAATCTTTGCCCATGGTGTAACTGCAGGTATTCCACATTCCTTCCAACCTTCAAATGAATTGCATTAAAGGTTGGCAAGTCTAAAAAATATAATACTGAGAAAGTGGCATAATTCTTTCTGTTGATATGCTGATAAGTAGGAAGAGTAGGACAGAGGGTGCAGGACAGAGGCTGGAAGCTATCCTACTTTATCAAGCTTAGTGGTGAGAGTGAAGGAAAGGAGCTCGGCTTGTGGCTAGCCAGGTTCGGATTGCACAGTGGAGCACAGGGACTTCACCTCTGTAGCAACTGGTTTGGAAAAGGGTAGGCAGGTGCTGATTGCCACAAGAGTGAGATGAGTTTCAGTTGTCACAGTTGCAGAGAAAGTTCACCTCTTGCGGAAAAAAAATAGAAATGGTCAATTTGTGAGTGTGAAGAGGTTAAGCAATTGAGAAACTGGTTGCTGCGTGATGTTTAAAGTTGCCAAAACTTGCTCTGAGGAAGTCTGCTAACAGTGTCACTCTGTTCCTTTATTTTTTTCTTCCCTCATATGATCATTATTAACATGCTGTGAGTGAAGTATTAAAAATACATTTTCAGAACTTAATTTCAATTTCCTTCCCTCGGTGCTTTGATTTTCCTCACACCTTTCCTCTGCCCTCAAGGCCTTCATCCCTGCTGCCCTTTGTGCCTGTTGTCCTGTGCCTCTGCACATTTTTTTCAGGTGCTACTGCAGGAAGAGGGGGGGAATTCCTTTATTTTAGAGAAACCTCACCCTCTCCTCCAAAGCTGAGCTCAGAACTTGTGGATTCAGGCAGCAATATAGGACATAAGGTATCATCTGTTCTGCTGCCGGCTTTAGGGCAGCAAAAATCTCAAAGTCACTTTTGAAAATCAGTTACATTCCTACATTACTTAAGTGCCCGTGAAATGGATCATTTTACAGAGAAGATTCTGTGTTATTTTGGAAATGCAGGACCCCCCCAGCACTGGATGGTTCTCTTATACCCCTCACGACCACTCTTTTATTTTCCTGTGTTGTTTTATCCAGTGTCCTGTGTTTGATAGCAATTCAGTGTTGACCAGGCTTTAATATTCGGTTGCATTGCAAAGTGCTGCTCTCCTTCCACTCTTACTGCAGTACTGAGGGTTCAAGATATTTAACACATCCCAGAGCAACTGAGCATGTTGAAGGAAAAAGCCTTAGATTGTAAATGATTTTTGGTAAGAACTGTTTTATACCTTTTCTTATAAAACACCACATATAAGACGCAATTGCAAATAATGAAAACCATTTGATATTTCAAACCAGGTAACTTAAAAACAAATGAGTTTCACTTTTATTTTTGTAGCTGGCTATGACCATATTTCCATGAGTAAATCCCACAGCTCATCTGTTTAAGAAAAACAAGCAAACCCAGCCCCCTCCTCCAAAACAAACCCAAAACACGCTCAACACCCCGTGATGGAGCAGCTGCGTGGCGCCATCCATACCACACGTATGGGGGTAATAATGAAGGAGAGTTTATCCCAGAACTTCCTCTCCCCTCAGTAGTTTCCTAGCTCCTGGTTTTCCATAGCTTGCTTCTGTCCCCCCAGTGCTCACCTGGCCCTGGCCTCTCCCAGCCTGCCTTATCTCCTGTAATCCCTGTGCTCCTAATGTCTCCCTCCCTAGATTGTGACTCTTAATTGTATGCAGGTTAGTACTGTTATTTATGCAGAGTCAGAGGTTATCTGCGTGGAAATACAGTATATGTTTGGCCTTCATTTAGAGAGATAAGTTTTGGACTTGAAGACTTTTTAAAACGATATATATTTAACACATTTCACAAGTTTGTGGATTCCTGAGGATTAGTGTGTCCTGGTTAATGTCCTCGTGTGACATATGTATAGCATTTAGTTAATTTTGAATAGTTCCTGCTTTTCTTCACTCTTTTTTTCAGTAGGCCAGCATTTGAGACATTTTAATTTTCTGTTGTCTGCAAGATGATTTGTTTCTGTTATTGGTGGTAAGCTATGAAAGCCAAATGTGGCTTTCAAATTGAAAAGGTCGTTAGGGGTTAATATGAATTGCAGAATAACTATGTAGACCTAGAGTATTTCAGATCTCTCGGCATGGTACCTGATGATTTCTCTTCTTAGTTTGTATTAGAACGGAAAGTTGTAACTTTTTAGTTAAAATAAGATACGTAGAGACATCTTGGTGTCTGTACATGTTTGTGCTAGCAGCAAGTCGAGTCTTTGCAGGAGTCTGCACCCAGGACTGTCTGCAGATGCTCTGTTTATAGATAACACTTGTGAATCTTGTTCTTTGGTTCTGTCACGGTGGCCAGGCTCCCGAAGCTTTAGCAGGAGTTCATTAAAGCTCTTAGTACCGTTTATGTTCTTTATGCCATTTATTTGACCTCCCTCTCTGCGCGTCTCCTGTCCGTAAGGCTGCTAATTGCCACGGGGTTAGGAAATAAATGGTCGCTGTGTTGTGCTGCAGCTCCCCGTCTGTAAAGCGGGAAAGAAACGAGCGACTTGGCCAAGGTCACGCAGGAAGTCTGTGGCAAAGTGGAGAAATGAATGTAAATGTCCTTTGTTGTAGGCTGCCCTGAGCCCAGCTCGTGTGCTGGAGCCGTGGGCATCGCGTGTGCGGTGAGCAGGGCTGCAGCTTGTGCTTTATTGGGTGTCTGGTGCTGACTGTGTGTAAGCAGGGTAATTTAATGTTATTTTCCCCATCTGTGTAGAGGGACCGAAATGGATATTAACTAGAATTAATGTTTTTAATCTTTCTTACCCAAACCGAAAGAAGTTTGTCTCCACATGGCTCATTTAAGGCCGTATAGGCAAGGCCAGCTGTTACTTAAGCGAAAATAATTTTCAAATCTTTATGAAAAGAGACATTTGCCTGCAAGGCTTACAATTGCTTTAGAGTGAAATGCTATCACAAATTCATTATTTAAATAATAATAAAATACAGTTGTGTTTCCTGGCTCCATCAGCTGAGTCTTTGTAAATCCACAGAATAAGGACCA